CCGCCGCTGACGTCATCGGCGGTCGCCAAGGGACGTCGACCAAAATCAAATGGACCGTTGGGTCCCGAGTTTCTGGAATGGGACGAGTGTCAGCTGGCAGGGGCGGTGCGCATCACCATTGCGGCGTCGGAAGCCGCGGGGGCAGAGGCAGCAGCAACAATTCAGCAGCTGGTGTCACCCGCTGCGGCCGCAGCGGCGCCGGCGGCGGGCTTGCCGCGCGTCAGGGCGGACGCAGCGGTTGACGCGTGCGCAGCGCTGCACGGTGCGCTCAGGTCGCAGGGCGCGGCAGTGGTGACGGGCGGGCCGGGCGCGGGCAAGTCGTTGGCGTGGCGCCTGCTTGCGGCCACATACCGTCATGGCTGTGGCGGTGGCGGCCGAGGGCGACCGCGGTCGGCGTCGGGCAGCGGCGGGGGCGGCGTGGCGAGCGGTGCGGGGGGCAGCGGCTGTGGTGTAGTGTGCGTTAGTGTTGATGACATTCTGGCACAGGAGGATCGTCTGCAACAGTTGCAGGAGCGTTTCGACAGGCCCGAAGCTGAGCCAAACGCCGGGCAGCAGCAGCAGCGGCAGCCGGAGGGGCGCCGCCGCGGAGCCGTGAGCCTCCTGGTTGAGAGGTGGGCGGCCGCGCGGCCATTGGCAGCCGGCGGCGGACACGAGGCAGTTCGCGAGGCGCGTGGCGGCGCGGCCTCCTCGCCCCGGCGCTCGGGCTCTGGGGCGCGGCGGAGCAGCTGCAGCAGCGGTGCGGGGCGCGAGGAGGCCGGGGAGGTTGGATTGAAGCTTCCGGGAAGCGGCGAATGCAGAGATGATTGCGCGCTGCTGGTCCTGGACTGCCGATCGCTGGCCGCTGCTGCTGAGGCGGCGCACATGCTGGGCGTCGGCGGCGGTGGCGAGGGCGGCGGCGCCTTCGGGCGTCCGCTGGCGCGGCCGCTGCTGCGCGCGCTGCCGGGCTGCGCGGGGGTGGTGGTCGAGTGCGGCCCTGAGGCGTGGCAGCCGCTGGGTGCTGTGGTGCAGACTACAGCACCTCGGGGCAGCAGCGGCGGTGGCTCCGGCGACACCCTGCCATTTGGCCCCCTGGGCGGCCTGCATGTCGACCGCCCAATCCTCGACGTGCCCGCCGAGATCCGGCGCCGCCTCGCGGCCGCGCTGCGGCCGCTGCAGGTGTCCCGCGGTGACGCCCCGCCGGGGCGCGGCCGCGGCGACGGCGACGGCGGTGGCGCGGCGACGCACGCGGCGGTCATGGCGCACGACGTGCAGCGGCTGGGGGCTCTTCTGATCGACCTCACCAGCGCCGGCCTGTCCGCGGCTGAGGACAGCGGCGGCAGCGGGGACGAGGCATGCGCGGAGGGGGAGCTGCTGAGCGCCGCCGGCGAAGCAGTCGCGGTCGTCGCGTCCCAGTGGCGCCGCTCGCGCCACACGTGCCCTGATGACGTCGCCGCGCCAGCGGTCGCAGCGCGGCTCGTGCTGCAAGCGGCGGCATGGACACTGGCCGGCCGCTGCCCGGGCGGCGGCGCCGGCGGGGGCGGCGATGCGCGGCCGCGGCGGCTGCTGTGTATCCTTGAGGCCGTCGCCGCCGGCGCGGGCTTTGGCGAGCAGCTGCCGCCAGGCGGGCGCGGCCTACTGGGGGGTCGAGTCTGCCTCAACACTGGGCGCTGGGTGCCTTGGGTTCACAGTTCCCAGGCTGTCGCGTTTGGGCCCGGGGTAGAAGGGGCGGGCACCGAGGAGGCAGCAGCGACTCAGAGAAGCGGCGTCCCGCCGGCGTTTGGCTTGCTGTCATGGCCGGAGGAGGCCGCCGGCCGCGTCATCGCGGGCAGCGAGCGCGCCGCGGCGCTGCGGCACGTGGTGGCGGCGTGGATGGATGCCGGGCTGGCGCCGCTGGTGTTCGGCCCCGCGGGCTGCGGCAAGCGGACCGCGGTGTGGCAGCTTGTCAGTAGCCGCGGCTGCGGCGGCTTGGGCGATTCGGGCGCCTCGCCGGCGCTGCTGCGGCTGTCGGCGGCGACAGCAAGGGCTGAAGCATCAGAGCTGCTCCAAGGGCTGGAGATTGAGGCATGCTGCGGCGGTGAAGCGTGCACACCGCACCCGCGGCTGCAGGCTACGAGGGTGGTGGTGGCAGAGGGCCTGCACCTGCTTCCCTCCATTGGCGGCGGCGATGGCGGCGGCGACAGCTGCATTGACGGCATCAACGGACGCATTGGCAGCAGCAGCATTGGCAGCAGTGGCGGCGTTTGCCAGGTGCTGCTGCGGCTGTTCGAGGGTGATAGAGCTGCGGCGGCAGAAGAGGGCTGGGCGCCGGCGGTGCGGGTCGTGGGCACTGCAGACTTGCAGGAGGGGAAGCCGCCGAGCAGCTGCTGCCCGGACGCGCGGCTCATGCGCCGCTTTTCGCCGCTAAACGTGGTGTGCTTCGCTGGCTTGGACGACGGCGGCGGCGGCGGCGGCGGCGGCGATGAGAGCAGCTGTGGACCCCCGCTGGGCCTTCGGCCAACAGGCGCGCTCGTCAGCGCGGAGGCCGCTCTGCGCGCAGTGTCTTGCCGCGCGGCCCGCTGCCTCCGGGCTGCGGTGTCGCGGCAGCCGCAGCCGCAGCCGCAGCCGTCCAGCAGCGGCGGCGCGCTGCAACCCGGCGGCGCCGCGTTGGTACCGGCGCGCTGTGACTTTGCACAAGGCCTGGAGGCGCTGAGGGGCCGGCGGCTGGAGGCCGATTTGTTCCACGTCTGCAGGGACGTCTTTGGCAGTGTCATCATGGCTGCCGCTACGCGTGACCTCGAGCCTGGCGCGGCCTTGGGTGCTGCGCGGGGCGGATGGCACCAGGGGCACGTGCTGGCGGCAGTGGAGCGCGCCCTCGCGCGCGCGGCGGCGGCGGTGGCGGCGCGCGCTGCGGAGGAGGCCGCCGCGGCGGAGGACGAGGCCGCGGCGGCGGCGGCGGCGGTGGGGTGCGCACCGGGGCCGGGCGATGGCGGCGGCGGAGTCAGCAGAGGCGACTCGGTCTCGTCTTGCTCTGACAGGGTGGCGGCTGCTGACGTCTGCGCCTGGTGAGTCAAAAATATCAGGGCGTCGCGCGGGGGCCGACACAAGGGACCCGACACACCGCAGCGCGGCTAGCAAGGCGAGAGGGAGCTGGGCACGAGTGGAAGGCGCAGGACCCGCTTGCCCCACCAATACAGAACCCACTGCCCTGCCACGTCGCAGCAGCCCATTGTACCACCCTCCCTCCCTCCCAACCATCCCCAACCCAACAAGCCTCCATCTGTCTTCCCCTCAAATGCTGACCTCTCCCCTGTTTGCCCCAATCCACGGCTTCTCAAACCCAGTATTGTCGACGGCCTCTGCCGAGAGCTGTCAGACGGATTGCTGGACCCCACATCGCGCCTAGCGCTGCGACGCTGCGTCGTCGTCGCCGCCGCCGCCCGCCTCGTCGCGCCTGCCGGCGGCGAGAGCGCGGGCCCTCGGCCCGCGGCCGAGGGCGCGGGCGCCTCTGCACGCGGGGCGGCCTCAGGGGATGGCGCCGCCGTCGCTCCGCTGTGGCAGCGCGTCCGTGCCATCAAGGGTGGGGATGCGCCGCTCGACGAGCTGGTTGCGTCGCTCGCCGCCTCCGCGGGCCGCCGGTCGCCCGCGCCGCACGCGCTGCGGCGGCTGCTGGCGGCGGCGGCGCGGGGGATGGACCCCTGCCACCCGATGCAGCCGCTGCACGTCGAGGCGGCGCGAGGCGAGCTGCGTGACCTCTTAAGGCTACAATTTGAAAGCTTGGGACCCAGCCACCGCTTCTTAATTGCCGGCGCTGACGCCGTGCTGCCGCAGCAAGCAGGCAGCGCCGCAGAGGCAGCAGCAGCAGCAGCGGCAGCGGCAGCAGCGAGCCAGGGGCCCTGCGACGGCGGCGGCGGGGCGCTGATGACGCCGGAGGAGCTGCAGGCTGCGGCGCAGAACGCGCACAGCAGCGGGTTCGTGAGCGCAGCGAGCCGCCTGATGGCGTCCCTCTGCCTCCCGCTGTCCGCCGGCGGCGCGGCCTGCGCGGTCGTCTACGGCCCGCTCCCGCGCGCCGCTCGCGCGCTGGCCGCCGC